TTATTTTCTATTTAAGTAACCCCTGGATGTTGGGCTAAGGTAACAACCCCAGGACGTACTTGAAAACCAGAGTAATCTGAATGTACCTTTCCTGGTTAAATACTTTGTTATTATTATTATTATTATTATTATTATTTATATTTTTCGCTACAAAGTAGCTTTGTTTCTCTAACCATCATAAAAGGATATTCTAATTACCATATTAACCAAATCTTCTGTTTGCAAAACGCTACAGTTACAAGAGGTTATTTGTTTTTTTAAGAGTCTATATACCATGGACAACCCTGCGGAGAGAGGGGGAGCACTTCACAAAAAAGTGCACTGCTTAAGGAGTATAGGTTTATGTAAGTTTCTATAGGCAAAATGATACACAATCACTAGGAATGCTAAAAGTAGAATGGGATACAGACCTTTTTAACCTACCTGACCTAGCTTTAAAAAAAAAAATTTAAAAAAAATATATATATATTGCACAAGTTCTTATAAAGACAGTCAATGATTCAGAAAGATCTTTCCACTGATATTTTTAAAAATACTTGTTGAAAAGTATTTATTTAAAAAGATTTTCTAATCTTTCTTAATACAATAAAACATATGATTGTAAAAGCTACGCCATGGTGACTTGGGGGAATCCCCTTTAATTCCCCCCCTAGATTTTCTCTGGGTATTTACTACCTTCATATTGATCTGGAAGGAGCCAGTGTTGTGGCTGTGATTGTGGCTGTATCTTAATCTGGCCAGCATGTGGAAAAAATGCTGACTTCTGTCATAACCATGTTGTAGCTGTCTGTGACAACACGAGGTTTGTATTTGAATGAACATTTTGTTACTGGTGTCCATGCTCATCGTTACTCTTATAAGTTCATATAGAAGAACACTGTTTGTGGCTGGTAAGCTACTTCCTTATTGATGTTAAGGGAGAAGCAGCTAGGAAGAATGCCAGATAAATGGAGCTTTTTCAAGACACTATTTAAAATTAAATGCTTATTGCAGCACATTTGTTTTTTCGTATGCTTACTCTGCTGCCAATCCCACTTTCCCAGGTATCTCCCTCCATCATGAATTTTGTTATCACATGGCCCAGGAACACTGCTAAATAAAAGTATGTATTATTTATGACTGCACGGTGCACCAGTATTGATGCTTACATTTCTGTCCTCTTTGTAGTATTTCATGTATGAAAAAATATTTCAATAAACAGTAAATTATTAACAAAAAAACACTTAAGCCCATTCCCTTAAGGCTATGCAGCCTGGTTGCGCTTTTGCATTGCCTTTTTTTTTTTATTTAACTTTGCCTAAGTCTGTGTGGCAAACCTTAACTGTATTATCACTTACAATGTTCTAAGCCATCAGCATGCCTGTGTGTAAAATGCCCTCACCTCATCATTGATGCTGTATATGTATATGCATTGCATGCATTAAGTGCACATTGAAAAAAAATGTACACAAATATATTAATGCAAACAGACATATATGTGGGTAAGGCTGCAGAATTTATTTTTTATTCATTTCAATAAATAAAAACGTATTGATATTATAAAATCATATAATCAGTCTGCTATTGTGAGTTTACCCTCCATTTTGATGTTTACTGCTTATAACAGCTTAAAAATTATTATCCATATAAGAAGGAATAATAATCGTATAAAATATGTATAACCTTTAACCTAAATCTGATTTTAGCAGATGTTTCCTTTAGAATAGGAATACTTTAAAAAAAAAAATAAGGAATTTACCAAACCATAAATTTCTGCACCTTTTGCTGATTTTTCAAAGTCCAAATTTAGGCGATGAACTGTCTAGAGACTAATATTAACAAATAGCCAAGTCTGCATAAATGCAATGTAATCTGACATGATAAAATACATATATAATCTGATGTGTTACACCAATAAACTCAGAATTGATTTGGACCTCACAGTGGTGTTGTGTCTGAATCAATTCTCCAGGAATGTAGGTGTGGTGTACTGATTGGAAGTATAGACTACAGCCTTTAAAATTCAACTATAGTCACCAGAAGAACTACAGCTAAGTGAATATTTTCTGGTGAGTGTAATCATCACCTTCAAGCATTTTGCTGTAAACACTGTCTTTCCAGAGAAAATGCAGTGTTTACATTACAGCCTAGTGATAGCTCCACTGGCCGCTCTTCAGTTGGCTGCTAGAGGTGCTTCCTGGGTCAGTGATGCACAGTGTGCAGTACTGTCATTCAATGTCTCCACCTTATGCATGCAGACACTGACCTTTTCTCATAGAGACGCATTGATTCAATTCATCTCTATGAGGAGATGCTGATTGGTGAGGGCTGTGTTTAACTTGTGCTGGCTCTGCCACTGATCTGCATCCTTGACAGTCTCTGCCAATTATATGGGGAAGCACTGTGATTAGCTCAGACCACCACTTCTGATGATGTCAGCAGACAGAGGCAGGTTCACAGGCAAACAGGGACAGAGCCAGGAGCTGCAGATTTGAATATAAGTAAGATTTTACTATATTTAGGGAGGTAAGAGGGAGCTGGGGGGAGGAGGGGGAGGAGGGCTAGATGTGGGTTTTAACACTGTAGGGTCAGGATTACATGTTTGTGTTCCTGACCCTATAGTGCTCCCTTAACCTGCTCTTATTGTCATGGTTTGGTTGGGATGTGGTGCTGTCATGGAGCAACAGCATCCATCATTAAGTTGGAACCTAAATATAGATTACAAAAAAAACAAAGTAAAATAGAGAAAACAATTATGTTAACTGCTAGAGCACAAATGCAGATCAACACAAATTTAATTAAGACAAACAAAACAGAAGAAACTCAGGATACAAGGCAAGCAACAGTATATAAGGCAGCAGGAAGAGAACTTGGACTCAGGCCTTCAAGATGCAAGGAAAGGTCACATGATGAGGATTTTCCAAAACAGGTGATGGTTTATTTAAAAAAAAAAAAATCATATAATGGCAGTTTATGTAAAGCAAAATGCAAAATGGAAAAAACACCTGAACAAATAAAAGGGAGGTAAATAGAAAAAAAGAAATGAATAAAGGATGACTGTAAGTGTTTTGCATCTCCTCAATGACAAACCGTGAGCACTTCAGAATACGGCGAGTGGAATTCAGGGAGGCAATCCTCAGGATTCTGGTGAGCAATGTCTCTGGATTCACAGATGAGTGAAACAGCCAAGCCGCAAATAAAATCAAACAACAATCTGGCAAACAAGAAGGGGAAGGGTTATATTAAACAGGGAGATGATTAACAAGGTAGGGCCAGCTGGGTAAAGTCAAATTTCTTCAGTCTGGGTGCAGCAATCTGCAACAGCACCACAGCTGTCAAAATCAGGGCATAACTCCTGAGTGATGTTGGCACACTGACTTCATTGCCGGTGTGCCAGTGCCTGAACGGAGTGAAGTCACATGACTCCATTGATTTATTTCATAGCCAGCACTTGCTAGGGAGCTTCCATAGAAAGCGCAGCACATGCACTATGCACTATGGTTGCTATGCTTCACACACTCTAACAACCATAACAATGCATGCACATTGCATAGAAGAAGGTGCAATGAGACCCCCTGTAAGTGTCTCCCTCACCTAGTTACTTAAAACTGCATTAATTTGCAAACAGATATAATCTCACTTCATCATTCAAATACATCTTGGTAAATATCTCCCTGGTGATGCATGGTAAGTGATCACTATATGGGTGCACAGCACCTTACAACTATGTATTTGAAATATTCCTTTATGACTGCTCTGACAGAAGTTTAATTTATTTATTTTTTTTCTGATAATTGGAACTCCTGCCAGTGCTGAACCACATTGGCTGAGTGAGGGTTTAAGGAACAAGCCCAATGTCCCCTTTAGAAATAAAAGAAAATGAAGGGGAGGAAGTACACATCAAAAGTAACATCCTAGGGCAGGCATAGGCAACCTACGGCACTGCAGATGTTTTGGACTACACCTCCCATGATGCTTTGCCAGCATTATTGGTGTAAGAGGATTATGGGGGATGTAGTCCACATCATCTGGAGGGCCATGGGTTGCCTATCCCTTTCCTAGGGCTTCTAGTCCAGAGCAGTCTCCACTTAGAAATCATCAAAGTAAAGGACTGTGCATAAATAGGTAAAGCTCCAATTATGTGCCCAGTCCATAGGCGTGCGCACGGGGTGTGCCGGGTGTGCCTGGGCACACCCTAATCCCCGTGGCACGCCTATGGTTTGAGTCCTGCAGGCACTCAGCGCCCCCTGTCTCACCTCTTTCCCCTGTCATGGGGGGTCAAGAGGTGATGGATCCCCCCCTCTCTGCAGCTCAGCCACGGCGAGGGAGCTGTCTGCTCTCTGCTCCCTCTCGCCGCACGCTGATGCCGGGTGCCGGAATATGACATCATATTCCGGCTCCCAGCTACAGCAGACAGCCCACGCGGCGAGAGGGAGCAGAGAGCAGACAGCAGACAGCTCCCTCGCCGCGGCTGAGATGGAGAGAGGCGCCCGCCCCACTGGACCCCAGGGAAAAGTCCACGTCAGCACTCCAGGTAGGAGGCTGGGTGGACATTTTTTTAAAATTAAAATGTAATAATTTGTTCTTGTGTGTGTCTGTGTGTGAGTGTGTGTGTGTGTGTCTGTGTGTGTCTGTGAGTGTGTGTGTCTGAGTGTCTGTGTGTGTGTCTGTGAGTGTGTGTGTCTGAGTGTCTGTGTCTGTGTGAGTGTGTGTGTCTGTGTGTGTGTCTGTGAATGTGTGTGTGAGTGTGTCAGTGAGTGTGTGTGTCTGAGTGTCTGTGTCTGTGTGAGTGTGTGTGTCTGTGTGTGTGTCTGTGAATGTGTGTGTGAGTGTGTCAGTGAGTGTGTGTGTGTCTGTGTGTGTGTGTCTGTGTGTGTGTCTGTGAGTGTTCCCAGAGTGTGTGTGTAATGTGTCTGTGTGTGTGTGTGTGTGTCTGTGTGTGTGTGTCTGTGTGTTCAGGAGTGTGTGTGTACGTATATATATGTGTGTGTGTATGTGTCTGTGTGTGTGTGTGTCTGTGTGTGTGTCTGTGTGTGTCTGTGAGTGTGTGTGTACGTATATATATATATATATATATATATTTATATATATATATATATATATATATATACATACACACACACACACACACACGCAGAGCGGGCGCTATCTGAATGCCGGCTCTGCTCTAAGCCTCCATGGGCCGGCGGGGAGACCAAAGATCTACCTCACCGGCCCACAGCAGCATGGAGGGAGGCAGGAGAGGACCCAGGGAGCTCTAGACAGAAGCTCCATCAGGTTCCTCTCACGATATCTGCGTGTTGCTGCGGCAACGCTCAGATCTCGCGAGAGTTAACTCTAGCCCCGCAGGCTAGAGTTCACTCTCCACTGGACAACCATGGATGGCACATGGCAGCAAGGATTTACTAATCTGCCAAATCCCTCCAAACATACAGCACACACACATACAGCACCTACACACATACAGCTCACACACACACAGTACACTAACCGCACCCTCACAAACACACACAGCACCTTTAAAAAAAAACACAACACCCTCACACACAGCACACAAACAGCACCCTCACAAATACACGACACTCACACAAATAGCACCCTCACAGGACAAACATACACACACAAACACCCTCACACACAAACAGCAGTCACAAACACACACACACACAAACACCCTCACACACAAACAGCAGTCACAAACACACACACACATAAACACCCTCACATCACACTAACAGCACCCTCACACACACATCACACTAACAGCACACACAGCAGTGTATGTGTGTGTGTGTGTGTGTGTATATATATATATACACACACACGCGGCGTGTGTTTGTGCTTTAGGGTGCACACCCTAATGCAATAGGCTGCGCACGCCTATGGCCCAGTCCTTTACTTTACTTTAGTCTCTTTGAAAATAATGAGGCGATTCATGATGTTAGCACACACATACACCCAATATGTTCAAAATGTATCTGGATAGGAATTACAAAATGAAAGAGGGAGATTTGTCAAATGCATGACAAAATCTACCGTTTCTTACTACCGCAGGGCACCATTCCGGCGTACTCCGACAGATTGAGACATCCCCAACTACAATGTTTAATTTATAAAATTCCTAATCCCCATTTGTTGTGGTGAGAAGAAACCCCTCTCAAGGTCCTATGTATCTCATATTGTTGGCAATTTACTGCAGTAAGAACATGAGTGAGAGTTCTCCCTTTCTCCAGACCAATGGCAACAAAAAATTAATTCATATTCACAAATAATATATCTCCTTCTAATTGCAAATAATTGCATTTAAATTATTATTGCTTTGGCACAGAACATCCACTTTTCTTTACTGTCTGTTTTTGTCTGTTTCTGACATATACAAGAGATGTGAAGATTCTGAAGATACATATGTCCGTATTTGGTCGTTAAGTCCTAAACTTACTTTTTACTGGAAAAAATTTCAAACTGTAATTTACAATGTTTCATATACTACAATTAACCTGGATACACCATTGATATTACTACATCATGCACTTTTTCTATCATGAAATCTAAATTTCTGTTGTTCAAAAATGTGTCTAACACCCCTTAATGCACTCCACTGGAGACAAGACATACCACCATTAGCATATGGTCTGGCAGGCTTGAAGAAATTAAATCACTGGAAATGTTAGTGACCTCTTCTCATGGCAAAACAGATAAGGTAGCTCTTTACTCACCTCAGATACTTTCCAGTCCCTCAGGGGCCCCCTCATGCTGAGCTGAAGGGGTATAAAGGCTTTTTGTGCTGTCTTTTAGATGTTTTAGAATTTTTAAAGATTATTAACTCACTTCCTTCTTCTTCCCCTTTATAGAAGGCTTTTTTGGTTTTTTACCTAGTTTTTTATATAAATTTTATATATAAAATATATATATGACTTATATGTGTATGTATATCCCTTTTTTTTTCATATATATATATATATGACCCTTTGTGTGTGTATATATATATATATATACATATTCTTCTTCTTGTGGAATTATACTAAGACGCTAACAAGAAGTGTCTATGTGCTATTATTATTATTATTATCTACTGCTGTTCTATGAGTCATTTGGATGAGTTATCTTTTAATTAGAAGATTAGCTTTTTGCTATACTTGTTTTTCTTGTTGTTTCATATGTCATGGACTTTCTCAATATAGACATTTACAAGATCTACCCCTAATTAGTTTATGGGGAGTTTCTATAATGATTGACACAAACCACGCCCATGTATGGGCTTTAAAAAAGGCAGGACTAGCTACATCAGGATGTGATCTGAGGAAGCCGATTGGGCGAAACGCGTCATCACGTCGATTACGCCATCACGCCATCACGTGACCGGACGAAACTCCGAGTTCCAGGAAGTGAAGCCTGAAATACCGAAAGTTACCAGGGACTGGTAGATATACACAATACAGCACTGGCAAAAGGTTATTTGGCTGCTATATGGAAACGGAGAGTGTGGATTCCATTTATTTTCAATAAAGCTGTTTTTAATTTTGGAAGCTGGTGTCCTGCCTATTTACACCAACATTGAAGTCCTGGTTTTTGGATTTAAAGCTGGATCAGTTTGAGCAGGCTTTTACTGCTCTTCTTTTGTGAGTGATATTCCTAATTGTATTTGCTGGTCTTTATATTTATGTAAAACAATATTATACTATGTTTCTCCATTTTTTATCTCTTTTTACATATGTTCTCATGTGATTTGGAGAATTTAAGGAGACATATATTTCCCTTGTAAGTTATTTGTCTTGGATATTGAATTTTTTACACTATCACATTTGCATTTTGCACTTATGCCACATTGAATGTAATATCCCATATGTGTCCCATTGTTCCATCAGGTCCCCTAGTGGAGTGTCCACCTGGTGGACACTTGCATAAATACCAGGCAGGTAGCCCTCAATAAACCAGACCTACCTGCACCTTTCTTGAAGCCTTGGCTCATGCTTGGGGGAAGGGATACCTACATTCTGGGGATTGCTATAATCACTTACTCCCCAGAGTAAGCTCTTGTAAGAGCTTGATTTGTTCCTGCTACGCTCTCTAAATTTAGGAGAGGTTCACCCACTGGGAGCTGGATCCTGGTCGTGGATCCAGGCTGGGTGAGAGACGGCGAGACCCCGGCGAAGCTGCATCGCTGGAAGTGGGGTCCGCAGTGCTGATGGTGTCGGTTGGAGTGCTCGGAGTCCTCGGCAAGCGCTAGGAGCATCGATTGGCAAAGGTACACAGTCGGAGTGCCGGCGGTCCGTCACAGCAACCATAGCAGTTATGCCGAAGGAGGGAAAGGATCCCATCTCCCATCTTAAACTGTTCACTAAGGTCCTGCCCTCCGCATAGGCTGCATCGCTCCGGATTTGGTGCACTGGCTTCATACCAGTTCGGAAAGGCTAAGAATAACACCATAAGGGCCACCCGGATGTCTCCCGTGGAGGCCTCCTCCTTTCCACGGATGCCAAAAAGGTGTGTGACTGGGTAGATTGGCAGTTCATGCAGGAGACCCTGCACAAAATTGTTTTTTGACCCCCACATGCTGACATGGATAGCGGCCCTGTATACAACCCTGAGGGCTCGCTTACGGGTTAATGGAGCCTTATCCCTAGTATTTACAATACGGAACGGAACGCGACAGGGATGCCCCCAGTTTGCCCTCACTCTTGAGACCTTCCTGGAAGTGTTCAGATGGGACAGGCCATAACAGGGTTTGCACTCGGAGAAGTGGTCCACAAGGTAGCGGCATACGCAGATGATCTGCTGTTCTTCATCGAGAACCCAACAGTCACGCAACTGAATTTATTTAGATCTCAAACTAAATACTTAACACAACCAAATCTGAAGCACTCCCACTTACACTGCACACAGGGTTGCTGGAACAATTAAAAATTAACTTCTCATTTAAGTGGTGCACACATCGCATCAAGTACCTTGGAATTTGGCTGACGAAAGACCAGGGCGGTGCAAGACTGCACTCCATGCAGATGTACTACTGCGTCACGCACCTCCTCCGCATAATACACTGGCACGTGTCGAAAACAGACATGCAATGGGTCCACCTTGAATGCACACAAGCCCAGGAATGAATACCTGTCTATCAAAGTCCGTCTGAGGCAGATTGATCATTACTCCAGGTATAAAACACTGCCTCTTCCTGAGGGCAGTGTCAGTTCGTTGTATCCTGTTTCCTAAGACTGACTTGGCTTGTGACCCTTTATTCTTGGATTATCCGTTATTGCCTTTTCGCTGCCTGCCCTGAGATTTGGAACCGTGTCTGACTACTCTTCTGGATTTGCCCTTATTGGAAACACCTTTCATGCACAGCCCCCATGCACAGACTCACAGGCCAGGTGGCGTCTTGGTCTGTGTTTATTTGCAAGAGTGACTCCACATCAGGTAAGACCCTGACACCCAGCTCCTTTGACACCAATCGTTTATAACCCAGCTATAGCGGGCGGGTTGGCACCACGATACGTGGCGGGGCTCGGAAGCCCAGACAGGCTGCATCTGGGGGACTGGTGCACTAACAAGCAACTGAAACCCTTGGAGACTCTACCTACACAGAATTGCGTGACAGGGCTGCTCAGATTTAGGTACCACCAAAATCCAGCGCTACTACCACACGCTACCTGGAAAGCATCTCATACATGGAGACCTAACCCAATTTTATGCACTGTGTTCGGACAGGGCGCACCTACAGCAGGGAATCACTGTTCTTAATGCCATGCTGGTCATGGCCACACGGGGCCCACCGCGGAGGTACCAATCAAAGTGAGAACAAGCCACGGGGCCCACATTATCTGACCCGCAATGGGAGAAAATCCCACCGCTGTAAGTACTGTGACACGGTGCTGGAAAGAGTAAGCAAAACCCTTTCTTTCCATTCTTTTTAAGAAATTTAGGGAGACCCTCTAATCTAAATAGGAAGTATACCACTATAGTGTTAGGAAAATATATTTGTATTCCTAATGCTAGAGTGTTACTTTAACTAAGTATGTCTAGGTGCTCACACAAATTATATACTTAATTATGGGGTAATTCTAATATCTGTATTAAATTTGCTAATGTCTGCAATATGTGAGTGTTTTCTGCGTGATCACAGTTTATTTTTTACTTTCCACAATTCAA